AAACCATGTTTTATCATGATGTCTGAATGGAGCCCATATTACACTGTAACAGGCAGTATCCAAAACATATGCGAAAGCAAGTTCACTTTTAAAGTTAAAGATTAAGGTTTGGATTCTGAAGCCAAATATCTGTTCTATCAGCATAGCAACAGCTGCTCCAATGGAACAGTTCTTATATCTGCAAAGGAATGGTGGGAGGTATTCTTCAAGTCCCCCCTTCTGCTGCAGACTCCCAATTTGCTTCCTTCATTGTTCAGTTTGGTCTACAGGAGCACAATTTCAGGGTACACAGAACGCTGCAGTGAAAGTGAGGACAGAGGTGAGGAGTTCCCTTCACTTGCACTTTTTAGGAGCCAAACCTCAGATTGGAACGGAATATACACTGAGATTATTTTAATAGAATGACTCTGTCACCTCAGATTGTGGCAAAAATTAGGGGCAGAAATGAATAACTTTTTCTAATAGAAATTTAATTTTTCTGCAAAACACACAGCTTCTGTCTTTCATGCACGGTATATTACAATGAATCACCAAAATCCCCACTGGGAATAACTAGGAACATGTGTTGAAAACAGTGAGAAAGAAAGTCGCAATCTCATCAATGGTTCATCAGTGTCCTTTCAAGAAAGTGTATCCACTAAATGATTACTTCTTGTTTCATGTAAACTAGTTCCAGTTTCCGTTAGTAAAACCATTTAGGAATGAAAAGGTTACTCTGCCTCCCTATTCCATCATTCCTGGCCTGTATCAGGGTTCTGCATAGCTGAAACTAATTTTTCTGGGCAAATCTTACTGCAGATCTTTCCTCTGTTCTGATTTTTTTCCTTTCTGCTTTATTTGGGAAGCATAAGAATGAGGGGGGGGGGAGCTACTTAACTGTCTCTTACTGTCATTTCTCTACCTAAAACTACCCCAACCCAATCTGTTTTTCTCCCCACAGAGGAAATGATACAGGAACCACTTAATTTTTCATCCATGAGAGGGGACAGAATTTATAGCAGACAAATGCTTGAAGGAAAAGGCCCATCCCTCTTTTCATTAAAAAAAAACCTTATTGGAGAAGTATTATGCAATTAACACCTTGAATTGATACAAATATGCCATGAAGAAATGATTTTTCTATCCAGACCTCCATCTGCATAAAAATTTCACCCCACTATAGCAGTTACATTACCCACTGTATTCCAGAGGTTGTCCTATACGTATGTCAGGTGGGCATTGAGGGAATATAAGGATGTTTTCAAGCATTTTGCAAACAATTTAACATAGCATATGAAATAAGTACAATCCACTCTAGAACAGTAGTATCCTGGGAGCCAGCAAAGGTCCTAGAAGGCTTAACTTTCCAACAGAAAACTCTTGATGTCTCTCTAATGCATACTGGGCTCTGTCCACACTATTAACTATCTGTAGAACTGAGAAGTACAGCTTTCACAATGCTTTACTAAAAAAAAAGTCACTGCTGGCAAACAAATGTGTATTCCCTCTCTTTCTGCTTTCACAGCTGTAAGTGAAGTAAAAGGGAAACAGGTCAAATTTCAGTGACTGATCACGTAAACCGCTTTTGCAGTTTTTAACTTTTCAAGGAAGCTCTGCTTTATAAGCAAGGCTTGCATTACCCGTAGTCTAAGTGACAAAAGCTGTTGTTTTGGGCATATGCAGACTTACAACAAGGGCAGGTCAGTCTCATTGGCAAACCTGAAAATAACACTGGGAAAGATATGGGAATATGTTATGAAACGGGAATTATCAAGATGAGAAGCATGTCTGCAAACATCTAATTTAACCATCAGCTAAACTTTGGTGAGCTTAACCATTTGAATATGGAAAATATTATGCACAGTTATACGCTGGCGCTGCAGAAGCCAAAGATATCTAAAGAAGGAAAGTCTTAAAATATTTTCACTCACAACCACTGCTGTAACCTTGACAATTTATATACAAATTAAAGGGCTGTCTTCTACACCCTCCATTCAGTTTTCCTCTTTTCCATGCCAAGGAACACTCTCCCATCCTTCATAATGTTCACTCTCTTTCCATGTTTTATTTCCTTTAAAATCCTTCCCTTAGCCATCCATGCCATTTCAACACTAAAAAGGAGACCCAGCCCAATTGTTTCTCTTTACTTTCTTCCAGCTCCCCTTATCTCTTTCAGTTAAGCCACAGCCTTTCTAAAGTGTCACGTGCTCTGTGGAGCCTGTTACTGGCAAATCCTTCATAACCTAGTCATTCCTACTTTCCATTACTCACTCTAACTTCTGTTTCATTGTTCTCCTGTCTACATTATTTAACACTAAAACATATACCACAACATCAGCCAGTGATGCTCATATGTCATTGTCAAAAATTTCAAAATACTGCTTCAGGCCCTAAAATAGAATTGCAGAATCACAGAGTTGGAAGGGGCCATACAGGCCATCTAGTCCAACTCCCTGCTCTATGCAGGATCAGCCTACAGCATCTCCGATAAGTGTTTGTCCAGTCACTGCTGAAAGACTGCCAGTGAGGGGAACCAAACATGCAATTTCCCAAAGAACTATACCATTACTAAGTTTGTGAGCACTAGGGTTGCCAGGTCTGGGTTGGAAAATGCCTGGAGACTTTGGGGGTGGATCCAGGAGAGGGGGGGTTGGGGAGGGGGGAGGGGCCTCAGCACGGGACGATGCCCTAGAGTCGACCCTTCAAAGCAGCCATTTTCTCCAGGGGAACTGATTTCTGTCAGCTGGAGATCAGTTGTAAAAGCAGGGGATCCCCAGACTCGACCTGGAGGCTGGCAACCCTAGTGAGCACCATAAATATGGTAATCTTTGATAAACATATTCTACAGGACTTCTCTAAGGTTCCACACTCCTGACAGAGCAACGCAGTTCCATTGTATCCTGATCCTTAGGTCTCTTTTTCAGAAAACTCTGGCTGATGGAGAATTAGCAGAATGATATTAGAAGAGGAGGAATGGCAAAAGGGGTTGATCACCATCTGAACTGGTCATTTTATTAGTGTACTGTCATAATTTTATCATGTTGGTTATATTTTATTTGTTTTAAGGCTGTAAATCGCCCAGAGCCCGCTTGTGGAGTTGGGCAATTCAAAAATCTAATAAATAATAATAATTACTTATAGGTTAGTGGATGCATACTAATGTCCACATTTCACCCAACCTAAGAAGTGACACTCCAGAATACAATGTGTGATTGGCACAAGGGAACAATTAGGTAATATTATGATTTCTTATCTTCTTACAGTGCAAGTGCAACCCTAAGCTGAGTTATCTTCAAGTCAGTGGGTTTAGAAAGGTACAACTCTGCTTTGGATGGCACTGCTATTCTTGAAAGAGAAAAGAGTAGTCTTTGGCCATGGTCTAATAATGCCTCTTGAGTCCTCCTTCTGTAATCCAAACTCTCCTCCTTGTATGCAGCCATCATCACACTTAATGAGGACCCTACCATTCTTCCATAGAAAAAAACCTTTATTTTTATTATACTAAATTCAGTTAAATTATTATTTTATCATACTAATTTCAGTTAAAACCAATATCAGAGCCAAGTCATTATCTCATTCATCAACTGTACCTAAACAAATACAGACAATTAAGTATACAGCGCACACAAAAACATGACACAGAGGCAAACAATATGAGATCACTGAAACCGCAAAAAACATTCAAAATCATAACACAGAGAACTTCAAATCCAGCTCATAAATGCTATGAATCAACATGATAAAAAGGCACATGATCTAACCCAGTGACTTTTGCAAACTATCTTCTCTGAATACAACTGTATTGTCCAGTCTAGCCAATGCTATAACTATTGCAGTACAAGTACAGGCTGTGTTGCAACAACTACCATCTCATCTTATAGAAAACAATTAAAATAGAGCTGGGTGACTCTCCCCATTTATTTTCACACTCTCTTCCTATAGTTCCTAGTTCACACAGATGAGGACAGGTAAGTCAGGAAGCCCTGTGGGATCCTCCTTTCCTTTGCCCTTCACAGACCACACCCACCCACAAACCCAGGCTCTGCATCCAACCGTCAGTCATATTCTTGCTCTGACTAAATCTCTAAGTGGCACATAAAGCCACTGATTGCCCTTACCATTCCAGGCTTGGCCCAGTGACAGTGAATGAATTATCACAGAAACAGTCATTCCAAGGGCTTATGTACTCATACCTTGCAAATTCCAGATATACTTCAATGCCAAAAGAGCTTCCACACCCACCTATGCACATGTCATGAGTATTTGGGAAGTGAGTTTCTTTTACTAATACTATTTTCAAAAGAAACCGTGCTAAGCAAATGCTGATGGTTTTGGGGACTCTCACTGCCTGTGTTTAGGCAATACTGAGCCATTACAATGCAAAGGGACATTCCAAATTAAAACTGAACAGTGAGAAATCATTTGTATACAGAAAAAGCAATCATGCTGCTAAATCAACTACAGTATCAACTTTCCTATTCTAATAATCTGTGCTTAAAGAACACCTATTTATATATATTTTACATCATCAGTCCAAATGATTTATTCTGTAATTTTCTGAACACAAACCAACCAATAACTGATCTCTTTTATGAGGTATACATAATAAACGTCTGACCCTGATTTAATGCCCATATCTATAAAGAAAAACAAAAAAGAAAAGTTCCAAATACAGGCCCTAATTATCCACAATAATCTAACTGTAAATAAAGCTTGTGTGCAGCTGCTGTGATTCCATGCGCTAATGGATGGCATTACAAGTTGTTTCATTCAACCTATACTCAGTGGCTGCTCACACTGATGAAAGGGCTAATCCCACCAAAGTGATTTCTCAAGTTCTTTCAATAAGCCTGTTAAAAGTTATGAACAACAAAAACTAGCAATCTCATCAAAACAATTTTTGCTACAGGTCTTTCAGAATAATTACAGAATTATGGTCACTTTTCTCTTGTGGGAAACATGCTAAATAGCAAAAACTAGTTCATAAGGAATAATCTATATAGTCCATTGATTCTACTTACCTGTGGACATAATGTAGCTGATGCACAGAATCAATTGCTATCACCATTTCAGCCAAATAAAAGCGAGCCATCTCTTCAGGTAACCGGTCCTCAAATTTACTGAGCAAGGTAAGCAGATCACCACCAACATAGTAATCCATAACCAGGTACTAGGAAAAGATATAATTTTTTACAGATTTAATTTA